TTTTTTTTTACAATCAGGTTTCATGTTTATGTCTATCAGTCTTGTACTTTTGTAGCTGACCTCTCGACTACTTTGAGAGTTAAATCGTGGGATGTGCCCTGTTGCCACCCGTACGGCCTCCCTTTATATTCTAGGGTCTCAGAAGGTTTAACGCCAAATAGGTGACACCAGCTTGTTTTCTTTCCTCCAAATAAAGAAAAAGCTGTTGAGGGTTCTCTCCCTCTGGATTTGATCCTCCTATGCAAAGCATTTGGGCCCAACATGGGCGGTCGGGCTACCATCAGGTTAATTATAAGAAATGTATATGTTCTATAAGTAACAAATTTTATTTATTTTAAGAAATTAATTAAATAATTTTAAACCACGTGTGGATTTGATTGAATGATTGGATTGTTCATGAATTATTCCACATCTTAACTAGCTTATTTATTTTAAGGAATTATTAACTAGCTTTTCATGCTTGTTGTATCACTTTGTTTTATTATTGATATCTAATATATATAAAGAGAGAGAGAGAGAGAAAAAAAAAGAGAGATGGAATCATACGAGAATGGTAGAAAGTGAAAAAACATAAGAATAAATTTGTACCATTAGATCTATCATATCAATGGTTATGATGAAGTCGAATTTTAGTAAATAATAGTCAAACAGTCAGTGGCATTTTTGTAAATAAGTATACATATCGTGGGCAAATGTATAAATTTGACCACTCAATAAGGGCATTCTGGTCATTACACAGTCATCCACTATCCACCCCTAGTGGGCTCCACCAATCCCAACAACCTTCCCCCCTCTCACACACACAAACACACACTCTAAATTCACAGACGCGCACAAAATACATGCACACACACAATCATACACTCAGATCCGCCGGCGGTGCCGCCGGCCACCGCCTTCCTTCTGCCCGCAACGTCGTCGTCTTCCATCCGTTGGTGTCGACGACCACTAAGCGCAGCTTGCTAGCGGTCAAATTCGGCACTGACCAGCACAAAATCCGTAGCCACCGACTAGGCGACGGCCAATCAGGCGGCGGCTTTCTCCATCAATCCCTCCCCCGACGTCAAGGGCCTGCTATTCGATCGCCAATTCGTAACCTCCTTCACGATCCAGATCGTGTGGCCACCGGAGCTCCTCGTCTTCCTTTTCATCTTTCGTCCTCCTCGGATGGCATTCGCCTCTGCCCGCCACAAAGATTTAAGCGATCCATCGTTTATGCGTTCCTTAGTACCAGCTGCATCAAGTAAATGACGTCGTGCTCTACTAATGAAGATCGTGTATCGTGGATTTGTTTTGCATAGAAGCGCGCACTAACAACCTCGCTTATACACGATAGTTTATGAAAACATGCATTTAACGACCTTGTTAATCATAAGAGATTTTTGCTCAAGACGAGCGATTTTTCTTTATCTTATTGATTTATTTAACTAAAGATGAGTACATAGGCTATTTATAAAAAATAAATACTAAGCCTATGCTCTAGTCCTAAGAAAAATAAATAATTAGGCACAGGCTAATTAATCCAAACACCTAAATAACTAGGAATGATAAACTAGAAAATAGAATAGTAAGTCTTCTAGAATTGGCCAAGATCTTCTAGAAGAATCTCAGCCACTTGTTGCGCCTCACGCACGCGTGCTGTCCACGGAACACGCACGCGCGCTGTCCACGGGCGTGAGTCCTGGATCACCCTTGCACGTGTCCGCAAGATTTCACACGAGCTCATCGGCCGTTGGCCGTCCACGTGATCGTCTCCCCTCACTGCCACCTCGCTTCTTGCGCCTCAAGCTTCACTGGCCTGCATGTCGCCCGAATTTCTCGACCCATAGTGCAATGGTCACGCTGCCTCGCCCACGCGACACGTGCTCACCTGTGCATGACCCAGTCCCGCCCACGCATCGCCCGTGCATTTCCCAGCTTGCACCCACGCCCTCGCGTGGTCTTCTCAAATTGCAATGTGATGGTCCGTTTGCCCAGCGCATCCCGCCTACGATCGTGCGGCCTCGCTGGTCCTCTCGCTAATAGTTGCGTCGTCACCTCGCTAGTCATGCTGTCTCGCGCGGTCGTGTTTTGTCTATCTCTTACGCTGGCTCGGCGGTCGTGCACCATATGGCTTATCGATCGTCTGTCGCACTGTCTGTGGCTAGACGTCGTCTGTGCTTACCGCGCGAACCTCGTCTTACTCAGTTTTTATCGCCCGGTCACCTGTCGCTGCGTGGGTCTCATACGCATCACCCATCTGTTCGTCGATGGGTCCTTGTGCGCTGCTCACTCTACCTTGATGGGTTGCCCGGCCTGGCACTGGGGTGCAGCTCGGACCACTTGCTGCCGAGAGTCCGCCAGTGGTTTGGCGATCGGCTGCTGCGGTTGCCTCTCGCTGGCTTGGTGAAAACCCGATATGCATCATCTGCCCCGTACCAAGGTTTCTTCTCCTCACCATCTGCAGGAAACGACGAGCAAGGGTCCATCCGCAGCCTTTCCTCCTTGTCGGAGGAGGAGTTTGTGGTGGACGCGGTCTTAATCGCTAGAATTCCGTTCACCAAGATAGAAGTCGGCTTTTGGGGTCTCGGATAGGGCGAGCGGAAAATTAGATTTTAGGATTTGGAATTGGGCCTGCTTTTGAAAATTTGATAAGTCCTATGGACTTAATTGCAATTTCAAAATTTTTAATATATTACAATTTAGTTTATGGGTTAAATATGTAATTTATTAAAAAATTAATAATTGCAAATTACTGTTCAAAGCATTGCACATTACAGTCCAATACATTGCACAATAACGATAAATAAAGTGCACAATAGTGTGTGTGTGTGTGTGTGTATGCACATTAAAAATTAAAAAAAAATACAAAATTTATCAACGCGCTGTAGAATGCACAGTATTGTTCATCAGTTGTTTCGGTTGTACCAACTGAACAAAATGTTAAAACTGAAATAGTCGAGTTGAACATTTGAAAAGCTTAACCGACTGAACTATTGTCTCAGACCGAATTAAAATCGAATTGGATTATTTGGTTCATGTCATGAGATTTATTTGAACATGTTTGGGAACTAATTATGTTTGATCATGTATTTGGTCGTTAGCTTCTGCATTATGAGACTTGTTATGAGATATGAGACATATGACTATGCATGTTTAATTCTAGTATTTTCATGGTGCCTTATTCCGGAGTGGACTTGATTTCGTTGCATGCATTTTGTTTATTTGTTTGAGTCATGAAAGAGATAAGTAAGTGAGTAGTTAAGTAGCATTCTGCGAGAAAGTTACAGTGTTTTCGAAAAATAAAGTTAGAGTTTTAGAAAATTAAAAAGTAAAATTTTACTCTGATTTAATTAAGTCTAGTAGTAGTAGGCGGGGTGTTACACGATAGTCTGATGATGTCCCCGAGATGAGCTCAAGAATAATTATTATGTTAAACTTGGCTAGTGGAATTTATTTTATGTGATAATAAAGATTTGAGTGGTACTAGTCTCGATTGAAGATGTCAATTAATTATATTATCAGTAATTAAATTAATTGACGAAAAATATATTTTAAACACGAGGAGGTAAATCGGATAATTATTATTTGAGACTCAAATGTAATTTGAGCGCTAAATAGAGAGTGCAATAATATTTCTTCAGTTGACTGAAATATTATTCAAGTATGAGCAGAGTGGGCTCGACCCACAGTTAGGTCCAAACTTGGGAAGCTCATATTTAGCACATCCTTAGGGTCCCTGTTGTAGTGTATAAATACATCACATCTCTTGGGATTTAAGACGGAGTAGGGCCATATGCTATACACGCATAGTTGTCGCCCCTCTCTCTAAGAAATTCCAATAGAGATATCTCCGAGATCGTCGTCCACCAGGACAAACAGAGAAGATGACGGGTCATATAATATAAAATCTGAGGTAAACTGAGGCGAATAAGGAACTAAATATATATATATATATATACATATATATATATAAATATTTATATATATATATATATCCCACCCCGTAAATATGTAAGAGCTGCCGGCGACCAACCCCAATCACCGGCGACCAGCCCCTCACGTCCGGTAGCGACCGACAACCACGATAGCACCAATCGGGGGCCCAGCCGCTCGCAGCCACGAAGCCAGCACGTCCCAGTTGCAGCCTTGGTGCTCCTAGTGCGCTCAGCCCGCACAAACCCGTACAGATCCGTCCCAGGAGTTTCCAACACGCCCCAGCACGCACAACCCACGCCCCGTCGCATCCCATGCGTTCCCATTGTGCACAGCACGCGCGCAGACGAGACTGATCACGTGCACTGCTCCTGTGATGCTTCCAGTGTGCGCAGCGCGCGCATTCACTGTCCCAACACATCCGTCCGTGAGCAGACCCGAGGAGACCCAGCAGACCCCGTGCAGTCTGCCAGGAGACCAGACAGAACTCGTGCAGTCCGCGAAGCAACATGGTAGACCCAACAGACCCCGTGCACCAGCGGGCACAACCGTGCAGTCCGCGAAGAAACATGGCAGAACCAGCAGACCACGTGCACCAGCGGGCACAGCCGTACAGTCCTACGGACCAGCGTATCCTAGCTACACCTGGCGACCCGACAACGACCCAAGTGACTCGGCAGCGGTCCAGCCAGGATCCGACAGCCTCTGTGCGACGTGGTGCGACTAACATCAATTTGACGAGGCCCAAGGCGATATGACACACAACTTGGACATCGAGAAGCGCAACTAGACTCAGATGATCTCCATCAACGGAAATCATAAACGTCTCATAGTCGGCGAAATTTAAAATGGTACGTATTGAACCATAACTTCTAGTTCCGCTGCGCTTAGGGTTTAGTTCATAGATAGTCTGTGACTTGCATAAATTCGACGTTTCTAACCGAGCCCCAACAATTGGATCATTCGATCTGATGGCTACGATTTATTCTTATTTCTTTCACTGAGCATTATTCTTACAAGAGCGCGACCCTACTTATATATGTGTGTGTGTGTATTCACTGAGCACCATTTGGACAAGAGCGCGACCCTATATATTTGTATGTTTGCGTATATATATATATAGATATATAGATATACATATATAGAAGTAAGATCATATGAGAAAGGGTCATAGTGAAAGAAATAAAAATGAATCTCAGTGGTTGGATATGATCTATCAACGCTCTAGACACAGTCAAATGGTCTAGGTTTGGTCAAAGGAGTGGTGGCATTCCTGTAAATTTGTGGACTTCAGATTTTTCACGTCGGGGTATTTTAGTCATTGCGTGCAATGCACACTTACATTAATTTTCAATCTGGTAGACACTAATATGCAGTCAGTATAGCGGATATTTTAATGTGCATACCAAACGTGATATTGTGCAATGCACTGAACATATTGTGCAATTATTAGATTTTTGATACATTATAAATTTAACTCATGAACCAAAATGTAATATATTAAAAATTTTGAAATAGCAGCTACTAACTTATCATTTTTTTTTTAAAAAAAAAAGACAACCCAAAAGTAGGTTTTCTTATGTCCCCCACCGCACAGCCTCCGTCCTTGTCGTCGGTGAATTGCCCGACCGTTCTCAGCCCTGCGAAGACCTCACCAGTCGACCACATTCTCACAATTTTGGTTTCGATTTCGTATTAATCGATTTTGTGTTCCTCGGTTATAGTTTCGATTTTGTGTTCATCGACTTTGATGTCAATTTTGCGGTCCTTCTCCCAGCAATTGCAGAGGCGCTACAGCCCGAGCTCGGTGGCGTCAGTAATTTTCTTTTTGGGGCAGCCGGATTTTGGCCTCCTGGTGCTCCTGATCTGTTCGTTAGTGATACTGATTTGCGGCCGAAGTTCTATTCTTGACGCAGATCTGACTGGGGAGAGCGGGCGCAGGGGCGTTGATTGGAGTTGTGACGGGTGAATATGTGAGTGTTCTGTGCGTGTGTATGAGAAAGGGGTGGGGTGGTGGGGTCCACTAGTGGGTGTGAGTTCCGATTGTGGGGCAATGTCCAATTTACCCTTAATCGATGTAAAAATTTGGTTTTTTCTAGCCGTTGGATTATCCGATCCGATGGCTAAGATGTATCCTTATTTCTTTCACTAAACACTATTCTCGCCGGAGCGCGACATTGTGCGATGAGTCCACATATATATATATTTAAAATGAGTGTGAGACTCAATCTTAGTCATTAAATAAAGATCAAGATGTGTGGCTAAAATTTCATCTTTTATTTTTTTTTTAATTATTATATATTATTTTGAGAATTGACCGTTGACTCTGACGTTAATCGTAAACTTTCGTGTTGACCGTTGACTTCCATTGAGATCTGTTGACTTTCAGCGTTGATTGTTGACTATTTTATGCATTATGTATGAAGTAAATACACATAACACAAGAAATACAAAAAATGGCACGAAAATAAAAGAACTCACATAAAACATGTGAACAACGTTAGACACATTTATAAGAAAATGTAATCTTATGTGGTAGGATTCCAAAATAAAATATCAGTAAACAATTTCTAATATCATGTATAAGAAGCTGAAAATAACAAACAAAAACTAGGAACTAAAACCAAGAACACACTTTTACTCCACCTTTATTGGGCTTGGAGAAGGTACAAGATCTCATTGGTGTACATGAGAACTAGAATAAAGATTTCATTAATTTAACTTTTCTTCCTATCGATGCAGAAAAAACTCTATCAATCCCTTTGAACTCTCCTGCCATGACATATAGACTAACATGCCATTTTGAAAATAAGGGCATTTATTCAGTCCACAGTGGCTATCGCCTTCTTCAAAATTCAATTGATGATGATCCTACCTCGAGTACAAGTGGTCTAGCGTCATGGTGGCGTTTGCTCTGGTGATTACATCTTAAAATAAAATTATTTTTGTGGCGTTTGTCACACCGGGCGCTCTGGGAATCAGATAACCATGTTTTCTTTGATTGTTGGTGGGTGAAGAAGCTTTGGAAACGATGTGGTTGGTGGGATGAGATCTCAAAATGGCGGGGGCAACATCTATGTTTGAGGCTTGTGAGCATCTCAGAGGGCTAAAGGAAATCGGACTTCAAGTTTTTTGTTATGTTTCTGTAGCTCGTGTGGCAGGATAGAAATCTTCTTTTGAACGGTAGTCGTCTAAGTGATATTGATGTGATGATTGATAAAGGATTCAGATGGGTGGAGGACTATGACAAGGCCCAAGCTTGCACAATTTTCGACGCTGTTGGAGGCTTCGTAAACGACCACTGGGCTTGGAAGGGAAGGAAAGGAAATGAGAATGGTTGTTATCTTCACTGTGATGCAGCTGTACGAGACTCTGAAATTAATTTGAGAGGTTGGATAAGAAATTCAAAATGTCTTGTAGTCGCGATTTTTGCATCCCATATGTCAAGTTCGTTCTCTCCAACTTTGGCTGAGGCTTTTTCTATTCAATTTGGGTTACGGTTTGCTGCTACGTTGGGAGTGAAGATTCAACAAGTTACCAGAGATTGGCATGAAGCCGAGCAAGGACTGATAGCGAAAGATTCACATCACCCTCTTGAAGGCATTCTCTCGAATATACTGACACTCTTTGATTCAATAGACTGCGGACTCTGTGAGCATACGAAACGACTTCATAATGAGATTGCTCATGCCATTGTTAAGTGGGCGGTGGAACCAAAAACCACGATAATGTGGTCGGATTGTATTCCAATCTCTTGAAGGTCTGATGGGGCTATAAGCCTTTTTTATTAACAAAATTTCATTGATAGTGCATCAAGAACTTAACCACGGACAAGACCATTACCGAAACTTCCAAAAACAAACTAGAGAAAAAAAAAAAGAAAAGAAAAAGAAAAAAAAGCCCAGTAAATTAAAGGTTTAATTGCACATAAAATTCTCACCTTTTGTGTAATTGTAAATAAAATTCAACTTTTTTATCTTTGTAAAGAAATACCAAACCTTTATTACGTGTTGCAAATTTAACTCAAAACTATTTTCCGGTCAATCCTTGTTGATGTGTCCAATCAGAAATCTTACGTGGTACTGATGGGGCTTGCGTGACATTGAACCTTTTAAACTCCTCACCATGTTTTTACCACATCATATGCCAACAAATTAACCAAAAATAAAGTTTAGTACCAATTAAATAGATGCTCATCATAAGCTTTTTTTTTCCTCCTCTTCCTATTGATCAAAAGCATCCGAAACCACTTTGAGCTCTACTTTCGCCTTTTCGCATAACTTTAGTCTTTTTCAAAACCTAGCATTAAGGGCGTTACGTTTACTCCTCCCCGACCATGAATCTCTCTCTGTTGCATGTCCGAGTAAATGCATGAGAAAGGGAAGAGAAAAAATAGAATTTTATCACCATGTTTTTTGCTCCATTCTTCATAAAAATTCGAGTTCTTCTCCCCCAATTGAAAAAAAAAAAAAGAATTGCAGCAATTTTTCTCTTCTCCATGGCGCGATTCTTCACCCCCAAAAATCGAGTTCACCCCCAACATTCCGAATACATTTAAGAGCTCACCCGCAAATTTTGAAAAATTGTGCAGATGGGGCAATTTTCGGGGACTTTTCAGGCGATTTTAGTGTTATGTGAAGCATGGAAACGAGAGGCTTGGCGGTTTTGTAACTTTCCTTAATGGAGAACGAGTAAATTTTAATTCAGTTTTTGCATTTTTAGAGTTTCAATTGTGAAGGTGTTCAAATTTAGGGTTCTTGAATTTTGGGGTTTTTTTCTTGGAGTTTGAAAAATTGAGTATCACACAAGTCTCATCAGTGTCATGCAAGATTTCTGATCGGACGTTTCAGCAAGATTGGCCGAAAAATAGTTTTGAGACAAATTTGCAACACACAATAAAAGTTTAGTATTCATTTGCAATAATAAGAAGTTTTTGTTTTGATTGGATTTTTGGTTTGGGTTGGTTAAATTTGAAAAAGTTGGTATGCTTAGTTATTAGTGGGTATATTAAAATAATATTTAAAATAAAATGATTAAAATTAAATTGATGTAAAAGTAGGAGAGAGAAGATGTAATGTGATGGTTAATTAAAATTTATATCTATATCTATATTTTTTTTTTTTTTTCAAACGACAGAAACTATATCTCATTCCACAGGAATAATAGGAACAAAGCGGTCAAGAAACCGAGTCTTACACACTGAGAGGCCATACACATACAAGTGATGCCTAAACCAAACAAACCAAAATACAATAATAGAAAACAGAAACTCATATTACAAGACCTGAACTTCACAACCGAAAGCCAACCAAAGAAAAAGATCACTATGGCCATCTCACCAGCAGCTACAAAGGCACATTAACAAAACATACCAACCAACAGAAAAAATCCCAACACAAGGATGCAACAGAAATAAAAAACAACAAGTTAAGAAGACAACCCACTGACACTAGACCTAGGCTAATCTCCCCAACTTCTGTTCAGTCCTCCATTGCTTCTCCTTTGAAATCTAGCCAGTCCCTGATTGCTGCTCTAAGGATCTCCCTCTCTGGTTGCCAGATCTTCTCAAAAATCCAGAGATTGCGTGCCCTCCATAACCACCATAAAATGTATGTGGTCAGTTGTATGCGGTCTTCAGAAACATCATTCACACTCATAGAGCTGAGCCACCACCACCAATGCTTAAACTGGAACTCCTCTTCTGGCAATTTGCTCCAACTCACAGGTGCTAATCTCCAAAGTAACTTAGCTCTAGAACACTGAAATAGCATATGTTCCTGAGATTCAGTACCTTCTCCACACAAGGTGCAAACTGAATTGATATCCAAGCCCCTTCTCTGCAGATTCCCTCTAACAGGTAGGATGTTATTAAAACACCTCCATATAAAATGTTTGACCTTGGGCATAATTTTCAGCTTCCAACACTTATTTCTAGCCCTGCAATTTCCAACAGCCATCTTGCTACTTTCTGGTTCAGACAACAGACAAATCTTCTCTTTCATCAAAGACACATAAGCAGCATGAACAGAAAATTTCCCTTTCACAGAAAAATTACACATCCACAGGTCCTCACCATTTGGATTTAACCCTCTGATTTTCAAGATTTCAGTAGCATCTCTCTCATGAAACAGAATTCTGACAATATTCTCATCCCAACACATACCACCATTACAAAGAAGATCATGCACTTTGAACAGAGATGAATCAATATTGACCCTTAAAGCTGGCTTACCTCCATTCAGACCAGGAACCCAATGGTAGTCATCAATATCTGTCTTGGCACCATTCCTAATTGTGATCTTAATATTCTGCAGCAATAAAGGTATAAGACCAGCCCAAGTGTTCCATAACCAAGAGGCACCATGAACTTTTTTTGCCTAAAAAATAGAAGTGCAGTGAAAGTATTTGTGCTTAAGAACTTGACTCACCAGTAGCTTCTTTTGGGAGCATATCCTCCATATCTGCTTCAGAATGAGTGCCTTGTTCATAATAGCTATATCTTGAAAACCAAGTCCTCCAGCATCTTTTGGTAATGATAATTTTTCCCACGCCTTCCAGTGCATCCCAGGGCTGTGCACATCCCCTTTGCTCCACCAGAATTTAGCTATCAGTTTGGTAATCTCCCTGCAGACCCCACCTGGTAACACAAAACAGGACATGACAAAAATTGGGAGAGCATTTAAGACAGCCTTGACCAGTATTTCTCTGCCAGCCACAGATAAGAATTTATTAGTCCAACTCCCCATTCTGTTACTCACAGCATCAATAACAAATTGAAATGTATCCCTCTTAGAGGCAGCTATCCCCAAAGGCAAGCCCAAGTACTTAGATGATCTCTTGACCACAACACCTCTAAGGATGGAACACAACCTTGTTTTCACAGCATCAGAGCAGTTTTTACTTAAGAATAAAGAGGATTTTTGCAGATTGACTTTTTGGCCAGTAAAACTCCTATATTTCTGCAATATCTCCAAAATAGACTGGACATGCCACACATCAGCTTTACAAAACACCAACGCATCATCAGCAAATAAAAGATGAGTAATCATAGGCCCATGCTTAGACACTTTAACCCCCCTGAACACCCCATCTCTAACTTTCTGGTTAATGAGAGCAGAGAACACCTCAGAGACCAACAGGAAAAGATAAGGGGATAGAGGGTCCCCTTGTCTAATCCCTCTGGTTGGTGTAACAAAACCACAGATATTCCCATTTACATTAAAGGAGAATGAAGATGAAGATAAGCAGGCAAAAATCCACTTGATAAACACAGCATTGAAACCCATTTTAAACATAATTCTTCTGATGCTATCCCATTCCACTCTATCATAAGCTTTCTCCATATCCAATTTCAGAGCAAGAAACATATTAGGTCCAGATCTATGCCGGTTAAGAAAATGAAAAACTTCATGTGCAATAATCACATTATCCAGCAATAATCTTCCAGGAATAAAGGCATTCTGCTCAGGACTAATACACTCATTCAAACACTCTTTCAATCTGTTAGCCAGTAACTTAGCAATGATTTTGTACAAAGTACCACACAAACTAATTGGCCTATAATTAGAAAGAGAGGCTGGGTATAGACATTTAGGAATCAAGGTGACAACTGTATGGTTCCAATTTTTCAATAACATCCCAGATGAGAAAAAAGACTTAATGGCAGTACACACATCTTTAGAAATCAAGTGCCAAAAATGTTGAAAAAAAGATGCATTCATACCATCTTCACCCGGTGCTTTGTCAGGAGATAAGGAAAACACCACTCCCTTTATCTCTTCATCCTCAATAGGCCTGATGAGCATAGAGTTTAAATCATCAGAGATAGAGTGATTGATATGTTGCAGACAGTAATCCCCCTCCTGAGAGCCCTCCGAAGTAAAAAGAGTAGAATAGAAGTCTGTGATGTGCTTGACCAGAGCCTCCTCACCCTCACACCTTTCCCCTGTCTGTGTAAGTAAGCAGTTGATTGTATTCCTCCTTCTTCTCTGAGCCACAGTAGCATGGAAAAATTTCGAATTACAGTCTCCAGCTTTCATCCACATTGCTCTTGACTTCATCCTCCAAAAACTCTCTTCCTCTTTGAAAGCTTTATCTAATTCAGCCTTGGTGATATCCCATTCCTCCCAATTTCGATTACCTCCCTCCCCTCTCAACTCCTCCATCTTCAAAGTCAGCTTTTGAATTGTTTCCTCAGAATTCCTTTTCAATGGTTTTCTCCATTCCATCAAAGCCATTCTTGTGGACTTCACCTTCTGATGTACCTGGTACATAGGTGTGCCATCCATCTGAGTAGACCATCCTCTTTCAACTGCTTGGTTAACTCCTTCCAGTTTAGCCCATCTACCATCAAACAAGAACCTCTTTTTATTAAACACCACTTCCTTGTCAGTATTCAGCAACAAAACATTATGATCTGAAGCACATCTGAAAAAATTTGAGACTTCCATCTGAGGGAATCTACTAGACCATTCCAATGATGTAAAAACTTTGTCCAGCCTTTCCTCAACATACCCCTCAGCATCTCTATTATTACCCCAAGTGAAGAAAGCCCCCTTCTGCTCAGCCTCTTGCATCCCCATTTTCATAATGAAATCCCTAAATCCCAGAAAACTAGACTCTGACCTTCTTCTTCCCCCTCTTTTCTCCTCATTGCTAATAATATCATTCCAATCCCCAGCCATGGCCCAAACATTGCCCCAATAAGACTGCCTCTCTTCTAAGAAAGCCCACTGATTCATTCTAATGCCCCTGTCAGTACTCATATATACAAAAATTAACCAAATCCACCCAACCATACCAGGCCCCTTTAGCTCTACCTGAAGACAGAACTCATTACCTATCACATTCCTCACTTCAGTGTTCACATCCCACATTACCAATAATCCTCCTCTTGTCCCCTCAGGCTCCACCAAATGCCATCTATTTTCAAACCCCAACTTTCTACAGACAGTTATAGTAAACTTAGGAGATTTTTTAGTCTCAGATAGGAATATAATATTAGGGTGGTGGATTCTTCTTGAATCCTTGATCTGGGAAACTGTACAGGGCCCACCCAGCCCTCTACAGTTCCACACCATGGCCCTCATTGGTCACATTGGGGCCACTCAAGGCTGGCCTTCTCCACCTCTGATTTTCCTTGACATTTTTCCAGTTTTGGTTTCTTGCCTTTAGTCATCTCATTATCACCCTCCATGACCTCCTTGCCCTTCCAATTCACTTCTCTAAGTCTCTTCTGTGACTGACTATCATCTTTGGCTTGCTCTTCCTCACCCTGTCTCTTCAATCTGCCTGATGTAGACACTTTTCTCTTCCAAGTGGCTCCTTTAGTAGTCCTGACTTCCCTCTGATCACTACTCATTTGGACATTTCCTTGTTGCTCTCTTTGAAGAGACTCGGCTTCCTTCATATTCAACACATTTGTAGCAGAAACCACCCTTACCATACTGGTTTGATCCTCTTGCTCTGGTTCTTCTTCAATCACAGCAAGGCACAACTGCATCTCTTCACCCCCCTTATTTTGTTCCCCCTCCTTTTCCCCCTCCAGTATCTCCTGAAACTCTCCACCTCTACATTCCTCAGTCTCCATATCTGGTCTCTGTACATTTGGTTGAGTGCTAGTCTCCACATTTGATCCAAATTTTGAATTCTGTTGTAGTCCACTAGTTCTTGCCCCTGAGCTGCCAGAGAAACTATTCCTCCCCCCACCTGACAAGTCATTTGCTTTGATCCACTCCCCATACTGCCCTTCTGCAAGGCTATTATTTTCAATATCTTGAAGCCTTAGTTGACATGTTCTATCCAAATGACCTATTCTGCCGCAGTAGTAGCACAAGTTTACCAACTTCTCATATTTAAAAACAACTCTCACCCTTTGATCACCCAGTTTGACATTTGTGCATCTTGGCATCGGCTCCTTCAGATTAAGGATTACAAGTAATTTAAGATAGCTTCCAAGGTCCCCACCACCTTTGCAGATAGTCACATTTTTAACATTCTTAAACACACCCCCAATTTTCATTCCTACCTCTGTGCACATCCAATTTAAGGGTACATTGTAAACCTGGACCCAAATGTTCAGTTCTTCAAAACAGACATGGTTCTTAGTAAGTCCTGGCATCCACTCCTGGAGTATGAGATACTGGTTCTCAAATAACCAGTTGTGGCCTGCCGCTACCTTCCTCTTATCCTCGATAGAGCTGAAGATGAACTGGAAAAAATTCGCACTGAGCTCCTTCACTTCCAGTGTTTGCTGAATTCTCCATATGGCTCCCATTGCTCGTTTTATTCCCAGTAGTCCAGCTCGTCGATCTCCCACAACTTTCCCAAATAAACTCCGCCCACACTCTTCTTCACTCGATTTAATATCATCTACCCTGATTTCAATGTCGCCCGCTTCTTTATCCGACAAAGAGAATTTCTGCATTTTCGTCAAAACCTCATCTCCTAACCCTTCCCCCGAACCAGCTTCCATCACTCCCTACCCGGAACCCTAGAAACAGTTATGGAAGAGATCCGTAATGCCCAAACAACACACTCGAGAATCAGACAGCCCTCACTCAAGGAAATAAAGATCTCAAAGAGATAATCGCTCGCTCAATAAATATTCTCCGTGCAAACAATATTTGATAAAATCAATTATACAAACAACATTTCCAATTGTAGCCGGAAATTTTTAAGCGGGAAAACTTCGTCCATTTTTGGTAAAATGGATTCGTCCATTATATAGATATAGATATAGATTTGTAAAATTGGACCAATCCAATTAGCAGATATTTATTGATCCCGTGGATCTTGCTTGGCATAAAATCGGTCCATATTGTTTGTATAATTGACTTTGTAATATTTACTGATTTGTAAAATTCTCTCTCTCCAATTAGCAGATATTTATTAATCCCGTGGATCTTGCTTGGCATAAAATTGGAAATATTGTTTGTATAATTGATTTTGTCAAATATTATTTGCATGGAGAATATTTATTCACTGTATAATATACGTCAAGTGGTTTTACCGTTTTGTTTGTCATTTTGTTATCAAATATTTATTATCAAATATTGTGAGCAAACAATATAATTAGAAACGATTTTGTACCATACATTTTGGACCATAAATTTTGTTAACAAAGATTTTTTCTTTAACTTACATAAAGATGGTATCAAAAAAATTAGAATGATTCTATTGCATTTTTATCAAATATTAATATAAACATATTACCATCTTTATGTCAACTAGTATGTGGCCCGTGTGATGCACGGGTAAATAATATTAAATAATAATTATAAATTGACGATATAGGTATATAATATGTATTCGTTTAGAATTTTGAGTGCCACTTTGAGATTTTTTAAGATTTGAGACTTTTAAGATGATCAAATTTTAGAGGAATACTATGAAATCTTAAGTGTGAATGTGAGATTTATAGTGAAATTTTGTATAATGTTTTTTTCTTTTAAATCATAACTAATATTAAAAAGACCTAACAGATCTTGATCTCAAATAAGTTAAATATTTAAGGATATTTTAAGATTTTTTTAATTTTTATATATCAAAGATGAACCGCTTTTGTTACCAAAAAATGTGGACGCAATTTTGAATGTACATCCCGTCCAAATATCAGTTTTATTCTAAAATAAAAATTGCACGTGGTTTTATCCAATTTACACACTTTTTTTTAAAGAAAAAATTATTCAATAAGATTGGAAGAATTGGTTAAGAACTATACAACTATTTGTTTCCAAAATTTGTATCCAATTTGTACGGTTTTTGAGTTAATTTGCATTTAGAATTGTTTTCTTAAATAATTGACACATTTTTTGCATAAGAATCTCCAAATTTGTTACCAAAAAATATATGATTTAAATTTTTTTGTAGAAAAATTAAAATATGATACGAAAAAAATGAAATTCAAATTTTGCCATTAGAATCTCCAAATTAGTTACCAAAAAAATAGGATTCAGATTTTGTTACTAAAGATTCACATGTATTTTTTTTTAAACTTTCCATTAATAGTAAGTCAAACATTATATTTATTTGGTCAAACTTTATATTAATGTATTTTTCCAACAACCTCTTTATATATATATATATATAGATTATAATTAACTTATTAATTAATATACACATCTTACCATCTTTATGTGATGTGATTATATAAATCTTGAATAAGATTAACACTACGATCGCAGAAAAAATATTGTATACGTACTCAACAAACAAAGCTTCAAAAAAATGTCTCCCCTTTTTGGGTCGATCAAAAAATTGATGAACGCATTGCCGCAACTGGCTCTTAAACTTCGTCTAATTAAGATGTACGAAAGAGTTACAACCCATGGAGGAAACGTGATTCCCTTTATTGAGTGCATCTTTCATGATTCCGAGGTGTGTATATTGTATAATATCCATAGTCTAGCTATCTAATGTGCAATTCATATTTATTCAATGAGTTATATCCGGCCATATGAAATCTTTTATTCAATGAGTTTATCCCTAAGTGCAATGTGAAATCTTTTACTCAATGAGTTATATCCGGCAATATGTAAATTTTTTTTTTTTTTTTTATTTTTGTTTTATTTGATATGTTTATTGTGTGTTGGTTCATAAAAATTGCTATTTTCATCATACACACATTAGTTTCAGCGACACACGCATATAATACAGAAAGTTTCATATACACCCATATGATACAGAAAGTTTCATCATACACACTCACATTAATTTCAAAAAATTGTTGTTTTTTATTTGATATGATGCATATGAAATTTAAATACTTTTTATGTGTTCGTAGGGCAATCGGATTCAAGGTACTATAAAACAAAATGATAGAGATATCAAGAAGACTCTTGTGGAAGGACAAATTTATGCTGTAAAAAATTACCACTTGGAGGAGTGGCAAGAGGGCGAATATAAAACAACAACTGCCAACCATCATTTTTGCTTCAACGGACGCACTTTGTGCATTGAAATTGAGGATGTGAAATTTCCTGATCACACTTATAGCTTTACACCCTCTCGGAATTGATTCCCGAAAATATTTGTGACACTCTTCTCATTGGTAAGTATATTTAAATTTATCGTATTTTATTACCGAAAGGTATGAGATTACTATCAACCCCCAGATACTCTTCTCTCTCATATTCCCCCTTTTAANTATTTTTGAAATTAAGAATTTGATATTTAAATTTTTTAATTTGATATATCATTTTATTTCTGCAGACGTCATTGGAAGGTTGGCCGAGCTTGGTGAGGTGCAAACTAAGCACATTCGTGGTTATGCCAATCAAGTGATGGAGATCGTCCTTGAGGATCTTGAGCAAGTAATAATAGTTATTATTAGTTGTTAATTATTATTATTATAATTAGTATTAGATTAGATTTTTTGTAAATCATTGTTGATCTTTATATTTCTCAATTCCCTAATTAATTACTAGGGGAAAACGGATGACATGTTCGCTGTGGGGACACCATATTAATGAAATTACATCATATGTCAGCACTTACAAAAAACCTCCAACTGTGGTGATTCTTCAAATGTGTCGTGCAAAGATATGGGAGAGTTATCGTGGGAGTAAGATTATAATTTCTTTAGATATTTTCTCATATAGTAGAATTTCACATATATTTTAACTTTCCATTATATTTCTAGAGATTGTAACATAACAATCTCAACTTCATACAATGCCACGAGGGTAGAGACTGGAGTTCTTGTGCCACAAATCCAAGCCTACAAAGATAGGTAATGTATTTTTATTCTCAAAAAATGTATTATATTGACTATTTATCCATATAACCTGATTATCGTGTTATGAAGCTATAAAATAAATACTCAGTTTTTTTTTTTCTTTTTTTTTTTTTACTTTTTTCCTAATCATATCACCAAGCCAATGTGTGAATCTTTAATTTGTGTTTGAGTCGCGTTNGTTTTCATGAAAAAGTATTAGGAATCCTACTTACTTGGCTTTATATCCCTTTTATGGAACTTAAAAAAGTTACAGAGGATGGTCGAATAATTAAGAAATCATACATAAAGAATAGGTCATTGGAGCTCAAATAATTAGGAAATTTATATTAATCACAAACAACGTATTACTCTAAAATTCTTATGCAAATGGGTAGACAGTTAGAGAACAGATTTAGAATTGAATGCAGTTATGATTAACATCATTTCAATGCATATTATTTCATACTACTCTTGCTATTTTAATTAATTTATGATATGAATTTTATCGGTTTTGCTATGAAGCCAACAGTTGGCTCCATAATGGAGCCAACCTTCTATATACAACAAATAAACCTACCATATTAATAAAATTATATTAATGTTATTTAAGTAATAAGAGAATATGGTATGTTTACTTGTTGTATATACAAGGTTGGCTCCACTATGGAGCCAACTGTTGGCTTCATAGCAAAATTGTGAATTTTATATAGGCTTTCAAGTATCGAAGGAGGTTCGATAATTCTTGAGAGCAGTGTTCTAAAAGTCACTAGGCGCCCGCTAGGCGCTCGACCAGTGCCTAATGCCTAGAGCGCCTAGTCGGGGCCCAGAAATCAATAGTAAATACCTTATTTTTTATTTATTTTTACTACCTACAAAATAAAATTATCTCAACATATAATAAATTCACACACCAAAGTCCAAATAATAATATTAATATATATTAAAGAAAACATGAGAACAAAATAATGTAATTAGTATTTAAAAAAATATAAAAAAATTAAAAATAAATTAAAAAATTGCCGCCGAGCCCACCTAGGAGCGCCTAGGTCCGCCTAGACGCCGCCTAACCGCCTGGCCGCCGAGCCCGCCAAGGCCGCCTAGGAGCGCCTAGGGCCGTCTAGGCTCGCCTAGGCGCCGCCTAGCCGCCTGGCCGATTTTTTCTGCCGATTTGTATAAATCAGAGGCGCCCGGGCACCGCCTAGCGCCTAGGCGCCGCCTAGGCCGATTTTTAGAACAGTGCTTGAGAGTGTTGTGTCCAAGAAAACAGAACTTGATGAATTGGCGGCTGGAAATATTGATGTTAAGACTCTTGACTACTTTGTTAATGGCAAAATGATAAATTCACTTATATATACTCTTATATTATTTATTCTTTAATATTGTTTTGATTTTAAATGATTCGTTTGGCATCTCATCTCATTCATAAAATGAATATATAAAAAGAATATGTATATGTTTTATAGATTGGAGAGCATTGGGTATGCGCATAAGTGAGAAATATATCACAAAATTGGTGGTACATCTCATGCCTAAAGTGTCCGAAGAAGGTGAAACGTTCTGGCAACAATTATCATTGTGAAAAACATGGGGATATCAAAACACCTCTCTTCAGGTTTAAGAGTTTGATTTCAAAATTTCTATAATAAATAATTCAAACACAAAATTTGAAGCGACGAGCTATATTTCATATTGTAGGTACAAATTTGAAATGGATGTTTGGGATTTTACTGGAGACATTTACCTAATTGTTGGGATCCCGTGTTCACCAAGTTTGTTGATGGTAAATCATGCTTTAATCTTAAAAATGAAGCTGAGGTAAGGAATATTTTCTTTCTATTCTAATAATTAATAATATTTATATATTAATAATGCCAATTATAATTACTTGTATTCATTTATTAATTATTCATAGTATAGGATGTAAAGTCACTTTGGTGGGGATTTTCGCCAAATATTGCATGTGGTTCCTAAAGGCAGTTGTCAAGATATTGTTAATGCAACCATAAATGCATCAGAATTATGGACGGATTGTATTGTTTTGCATCTTACTAAAAACATGCGATTGCAAAGTGTTGGTTCGGCATGTGAATGTGAGGAGCTTAGAAAGTTTTCTGAATGAATTGCAAGTATTGGTGACGGAACAATAGGTTATTCAAATGATGGTTATGCGACTATTGACATTCCAGAAGATGTTCTTTTGAGGAGCTCTGACGATCCAATCGCGACTATTGTGGAAAGCACCTTTCGATGTATAAAAAGGGCATGGATGATCCAAGTTATTTGAAGGATGGAGCGATATTGGCTCATACCCTTGATGTTGTCGAGACTATTAATGAGTACATGACATCATTAAACTTATCAGAGGGGCATACTTATTTGAGTTCAGATAGCACATGCAAATCAGACTCTAATGTTGATTTTTTGCATGATTTGCATGCACCTGAATTTCTCAACTCAATCAAATGTTCTGGTGTACCGAACCATGCGCTGCACTTGAAAGTGGGCACTCCAGTTATGTTGCTACGAAACATTGACCATTCCATGGGTTTGTGCAATGGAACACGTTTAGTCGTGACAAAGCTATCTACTCATGTGCTCGAGTGTAAGATACTTACTGGTGCCAAGTCTGGGGAGAAGGTCTTGATCCCACGGTTGACGCTCACTCCTTCTGATTTACGAATACCTTTCAAGTTCAAGCGGTGGTAGTTTCCACTTATGGTTTCATATGCGATGACTATAAACAAGAGTCAAGGTCAGTCGCTAACACATGTCGGCCTGTTTTTAAAAAATCATGTATTCAGTCACGGACAGTTGTATGTGGCCGTATCACATGTAACCAATCGTAGTGGTTAAAAAATCTTAGTGTGTGGAGATCAAGCTTCTAAGACTCACACCAAAAATGTTGTGTAAAAGGAAGTTTTTAATAATATCTAAATATAATGAGTTTGACTTGTATTGATTTTTTTTTTTTTTTTTTTAAATTAATAGCTTCTTAAAATAGGATGTCTTTGATCTATATGTGATATGTTATCTCCTTTTGATCTGCAAATACCTTTAAAATTCATGTGGCCTCAATTACCACTTGTGATTTCCTATGTGATGGCTGATGAGTATTAAAAAGAGTCAATGACTATTAGTAACATACATGTGGGCCTATTATGTTTCAATAAATGGAAAACTCTATTTTGTGCTATCAGACGCAGCAGTGATCTTGGTTTAAAAATATTAGCTTGTGAATACCGCTTTGAATGGTCATACCATCAATCTATTTATAATGGAATTTTTAATAATATTAAAATAAGTGAATTTTTTCAATTGATTTGCAAAAAAATAAATTTTTAATTACTTACGAAAATAATTGTTATTGAACCATATTCTCCCGTGCATCGCACGGGTTTAATACTACTTATGTGAGTTGATGAATAGTGAATTAAGGTTGATGTTGTGTGTAAGAATGATTGATTGATATTATTTAATTAATTAATAATGTTGATGATAGTGGGGTTGAGTTAAAGTGAGTTAAAAAAAGTGGTTGAATTAAAAATGATTAGATTTTTTGGGTTGGATTTATATCCAATGATGCTCTAAAAATGTTGAATTTTATTTGCAATTACACAAACTGTGAGAATTTTATGTTCAATTAGCCTAAATTAAACTAAGAAAACATTTAAATTATGACTGGGAAAGCGCATTACTGACAAAGCTATTCAAGGTTATAATGTGACTAGTCGGCTGTCACCTCATTCAGGATTCTATCATCACAACGTAAAAGGAGGTTCGTCCTAGGATCCAATTCAAGTGTATAAATCTTGACAGCAATAAATTCACCCAAACAATCTAAGCAAGGCCGTTTGGTCACAAAATATAATATGACAGTCGAATCAAATGTAATATGACCGCATGGTGATAGAATACATAAATACTACCGCTTTGTATGCTAGGAAAATTGTTGATAGGAACGGTCAGGCCTGTTTTGCCAAAAATTGAGAAACTTGAAAAGCATGCGAAGTTACTTAAACTTAATTCTTGTTATTGAAATGGAGTAACTAAATGCAATAAAACAATATTGAAGAAACAAAGAAAGGTCAATAATCTAAAAATTTTCATAAAATACTTTATGTTACCGATACCATATATTAAGTATTGAAGGAGAGGCCGATACTATAATAGTAGAATCAGTGAAAAGAAACAACGCAAACTCTCGCCGTCTGAATTAAATCACCACTGAGGTAAGTATACTAATACAAGTTGATAATATTAAGGACAGAATCTAGTTTTCAAGATATGTAGCAACAACAGATGATGTGTCTACTCTTTAAGCACATTACATAGAGATGGAGGACCTGCTTTGGTGTATAAACAGTAAGAACCTCGAACAACAGGAAAAGGGAAAGGCTAGAGAGATATATACGTCGTTTTATAATTTTATAAATACCTATTTTGCTATGATTCGTATAGAAGGAGTTCTATGAAAATAAAAATATATGTCGTATATTTTTCTTATACACAGACTGGTTTTTAATACAGGAGAAGATTTAGAACGAAGGAAAATAAAATCACTGATTCTATTTGTACACAATATTATATCTTCCTAATTTAGGTGAAATCAAATCAGATATTCAGTAGAATCAAATATCTCTCAACATGTTCAAAATAATCAAATCATATATTTCGGCACCCCCTCAAGCTGGAGCGTAGATGTCATATGAACCCAGCTTGTCACTGATGTAATCAACACAACAAGGACTACCTTTGGAGATATTGTGAACATGTCATCGAAGTGACCATTAGAGCTAACAAAGTCAATGGTGATTTCTACGGAAAGCACTTTATAACTCACAAATTGACAATCTATCTTTATTTGTTTAGTTTATCGTGCACTGTCTAATGAACGAGAGTAGAGGATTGAAAGATAGACGCTACATGCTTAGGAGACTGAACAACCGCAACAATACGTGGGATGTTGCCTTAAACTGAAGGAAATCATGATATTCAGTGAGGGGAATCATAACATCACTTGTTTTGCTGCTTGTATAAGGTCTGTGCACTCATTTGTGAAAGGGATTAAAGTTGTATAATCAGTAATCAAAATGATCAACTACTGTATATCCATATTTTCAAGTTTGGTAGAGAGCATAGTAGTCACCACACCATACACTATATAGACGACGGGCATAATTGGAGTAGACTTATTTAGCTTTTGTCCAAATCTCATAACAAGTTGGAAATGACTGGTAATGAGGTTGAAGTTTGAGCACAATAGAGTAGTGGAGAAAAATACATAAAGAAGCATCAATTTGCTTCCAATGACCCCGACCTAGACCTTAGAACCACAATTGGACAACAGACCAAATACTGTAGTATGTTGAATCCATGGAAGGTACACAGAGAAGCACCAATAGAAAGAATTGCTTAGATTGCGGGAAAAGAAAAAGGATTCTCACACTAATTAATTCGCCGGAGGCCAGGAAACGAAAACTTGATCACTGCTACCATAGAAAGAGATTTATGTGAAAACTGAAATATGTTGTATATAGTTCTTATACACAGAGTGATGTATTTATAATACAGGAGAAGATTTACAACTAAGGAAAATAAAATAAAGTCCTTGATTCTAGTTATACACGATATGATATCTTCTCAATTCACGTTGAATTTTTCGAATTTTAAAAATTATCTCTCAGCATCTTCAACGTAAGTACATCATATATTTCAACAATTTGTTCGATCAAAAGAATAAAAGTTGAAAATTAATCAGTAGAATCAAACTCAAAGGAAGAATTAGGATCACTTAGCACAAGTTAGATAAATAATTGTAATATATCTAAATAAAGAATAACAGTATTTATGCTTAAGAAAAGATGACTATTGACTTTGAGCATAATTTCAGAGATTGTTTTATAGAAACACAAAAAGGATCATTCTGCTATGGCTTACACTTACATAACTCACAGCTCCAATTAATCTTACTACTGGCCTTGCAGTGCTTTAGTCAGAGAGTCAAATACACTCTCTAATGCTACCTCTTCTATTATCACAATCTTGTCCCTCGACTTTGAGCCAGAACGTATTGAAACTTGCCTTTTTTTTACCCCAAGAACCTGTTCACGAAGAAGATAGGCTTGCATTCATAGTCCAATGATCGAGTATTGTATCTCTCTGAGTATAAAAATGAAGAAAAAAAACTTGATTTGCAGAAAGAAGAAACATTATATCTATATTGCATATGGGTGCAGCAAATGCAACTTTTGGTGGATATATCACAAAGTACATTTATGATAGATGAGAAGTTAATGAAAATATCAATATTTCTTAGAAATTAAATATTCTACTAAAGTTACATTTCTATCAGATGTCCCCGAAGGGACTAACAGTTAGGGATATACATCAACTGCAGAAAACGGACGAAAGCATCAAGCCGAGGACTAGATAAAAGTAGCATGTTTCAATTTCCAAATTACTCCAGCAGTCCAGCCAGAAAGTTAAAAAGGGCCCACATTTTTGTAGAAGCTTGTAAGTTCTGAACTACAAGTTTTTATGATGGAATACTGGAAATAAGAAACACTATATGGAAGGTTTTGAGCTGCCAAGGGAAGCCCTTTTTAAAGTTTTACCATTTTCTAACAAAACAGGAACTTATCAATACCATAAAGCTATCTTGTCTAATAATGGAATGACTGGAAGTGACTACTTACGCTAGCACAGACTGCCTCAATATAAACAATGACATCACACTTTAGAATGTTCTTCAATTGTAAAGCACAAGTTGCTAGTTGGGTAAAAATGTAATCAATAAAAATTGCACGAATCCAATGCCCTCATCAACATGTTCCAATTTCCATAAAGCAGATTACTTCCCTAAACTCTAGGAACAAATTCGACAGATGATGCTTAATAACACTTATCCATCCACAAGACCATCATATTTTAGATTTAGAAAAGAACTCAAAAAGAAAAAACAAAAACAAAAACAAACAAACACGACAAAGGAAGAAAGAAACGAGAAGAGTAGAATAATGTGCGAAAACCATGAATGAAATTAGTCCTTTCAACTACAAACGCAATTAACCTATAAGCTTTTAGATAACGACAGGGAAAGTGCTTTACGGAGCTAATGTATTCGAGAAGGGCGGCATTAGCTTCACCGTCTTTGGCTGGAGCATCAATCTGCACTCCCACTGCCTCATCGTTCATATCTGAATGTTTTGTGTAAATTTAGCATAATAAACAAGCATCCTAAGGATAGTTTGATCAATTCAATCAAAATCAAACAGGAAAGTTAATAAGAAAAAAGAAAAATCAAGTGAAACATATGATTACCGGTGATGGTGGCGAGCCTGGAGCCAGGCTTGGCGTGGATCGAGATGGCAACGGATGAAGGCGATACGGAGCGGATGCAAGCTGGGTACTTGGTCGGGGACCGAGTTGACTCAGCCGAGTGGGACTTCGATTTGGTTTTCTTAGACGGGGCCATAGGTGAACGCCGACGGCCGCAATCCGTCGGGGGTGGGGTTTGGTATCCCGAAAATCGGTTGCAAGTTTAAACGCCTCTATGAGTTGGTCCAAAATCTACTACAAATTCCTCACACGTGCGGCCGCACGTGAGGGATTGAGGGTGCTGCCGTGCACAGTGGACTCTGATTTCATCATGGGTGGTACTATTTACTTCTCCATTTTACTAGGCATCGTCCTGCTGGACAATTTTGCTCTTTTCATTTTTTCTAAACATCTCAGAGAAAAGTATACGGTGAAATATCATGAAATTCGGAGGTACGAAAATTTTTGTGTCCGGTCGCCGGAACCGGACGGTTTATAAGCCGTCCGAAAAGTTCGGTCGGTCGGACGAGCCCTGTCCGGACCGGCCGGCCAGAACCGGTCTGTCCGGTTCGGCCGGCCGGGCAAATATATATATATATTTTTTAAATTATTATGTTATATATTCGAAATAATTATGTTATAAATTGGACTATATTATTATGTTATAAATTATCATGTTACATTTTAGACTTGATTATGCTATAAATTGGACGTTTATCGTGTTAGGAGTTACAAATTATTATGTTAGATATTGATTATAATATTTTGGACGTTAGATATTATCGTGTTACGAGTTAGAAATTATTATATTACATGTTAGTCTTGGTTATGTTATAATTGACGTTAGATAGTATCGTGTTATGAGTAACAAATTATTATGTTACATGTTATAGTTGATTATATTATAAATTGGACGTTAGATATTATCGTGATCGTGTTAGGAGTTACAAATTATTGTGTTACATGTTAGACTTCATTATGCTATAAATTGAACGTTAGATAATATCATGTTATGAGTTACAAATTATTATGTTACATGCTAGAATTAATTATCTTAATTTAACATGTTCTAAAAATATAAATATTGTACTATATAGCAGGAGTCATGGAAAGATTTTGGAGGAGATGGTGTTGATTACAGTCTGCGTTTCGATACCTGTACATTATATAATAGTGCTCAGGACGCTATTGAAGCTGCAAAACACCAGGCAATGCTGAGTGGTTTCCTATTAATAATTTCGAGCCACAAAAAGAAAACGGTCAGGCTTTTGAAGTGCCATAGAGGCGAACGGTACAGAGGCACAGGCAGAAATTCTAGAAAGACAAAAACGAATAAGTGCGGCTGCAATTTTGAGATCAAAGTAAAAAAGGTGTCCGACGCTCCATACTGGAGAATCTGTAGATGTAGCAATGAAGAGAAGGGCAACCATAACCATACATTTGCTGTGTATCCTGAGGGTCATCGCCAGTTGAGCGGCCTCAGCGCTTCATCTAAGAAAATTATTCGTGATATGACAGACGCTCAGGTGGCCCCGGCAAAAATTATGGCCGCGCTGAAGGAAAAAAATCTGGGAGACAACGTTCATGTGCGACAGGTATATATATTTATATCTTGTAATATATGTTTTAATTAACTTTTTGAAGTTAATTATGAAATTAATAATTGTTTATATGTAAAAATTGTTGTAATAATTAATAAATTTTATTATATTTCCTAATGTATTATTATTGTGATAGTTAATAATTTTTTTATCAAATTAATCGCATTAATATACTTTTTTATTTATTAATATAATATTTTTTTGTTTTAAATTATAATAATCATTATAATTAACGTTAATCAGTGGCAGATATATAACTTTAGAGATAAGCTGCGGAAAGAGAGTTTCGACGGTAGAGACGTTCCTTCCCAGCTTATGAATTTGGCCGTGAGCAGCGACTATACAGTTTATGCATAATCCGATCCGAACACGAAAGCGTTGACGCATATATTCATGGCCCATCCTGCGTCGATCAATCTATTCCGGACATATCACTAGTATGTCGGCATAGATTCCACGTATAAAACCAACATGTATGTTACTTTATAAATACTTTATTAGTATGAATCTTAAATAGTGTGTTTGATTAAGTAAACTTTTATTTGATTATATTTTTTGTCTTCTTGGTCTCATTTGCACAGGTACAAGATGCCGTTGGTCGAGATGATTGGGATGACACTGTGCAACCAGAACTTCCTAATTGCGTATGCGCTCATCAGGGACGAGAAAGAGGCCAGTTACGACTGGGTTCTAGAGAAGTTGAGACTACTGATAGGCCAAGACGTATATCCTTATGTTGTTGTCAGTGACAAAGAGTTGGGTTTACTCACTCCTATTCAGAGGCATTTTCCTGAATCAGTCCACTTACTCTGCACGTGGCACATCAACAAGGATGTAGAAGCCAAAGCCTACAAACTATTTGGGAAGAGTAAGAAATTCTCGGAGATTTTCACGCACAGTACGTGGAAGGCGATTGCAGAGGCCAGTACGTTCGATGCCTACACCGATGCCGTTGCCGAGCTGCACGCAAAATATTCGAAGTCTCCAGAGGTGATACGGTATGTGGAGAGCGCATGGTTAGGGCACCGCGAGAAGTTTGTGAAGGCTTGGACCAACCGAGTGACACATTTTGGAAACACAACTTCCTGTAGGGTGGAGAGTGCCCACTCTGTGTTGAAGGAGTGGCTTCAGACGTCCACCGGTGCCCTCGATACAATTTGGCAGAAGATTAATAAGCACATCGATAATCAAGTTACTGAAATCAAGTACGTACTGCAATTTTTAAATGCGTTATTATATTACTGCATTAATTAATTATAATCTAACGTTATGTAACGTATTATCAGGACGGCGCTTGAGGCCTCGAGATCTAAGAAGAATACACGGTATAAGGGAATCTTTTTCGTGAGCGTGATACTGAGGGTCTAGCATTACTGTCTGAGTTTATTGGACGCTGAGCTTACGAGGATGCACGACTTGGACACCCATGTTTACACTAGCTGCAGCTGTGTATTGCAGTTCACTCATGGACTTCCTTGTGCCTGTCTGCTCCGTAACGCAGTTGATTTCAACATTCCGATTGATCTCGGAATGATTCACCAGTTCTGGAGAGCGCTACAGATATTAGAGCCAGGTAATTTAAGGTTAATGTTTTATTTATAATTTTCTATTAAAAACATTATTTGGTTTAATTCATTGACTTTTTTATCGTATACTTGTAGGGACTGGTAATCAGAGCCAGGCGAGCCAGGCTGCATGGTCAGATGCGGAGTTCTTTCAGACGCTTGTGAGTGAGGTTAAAACCCACGATCCCGCGACGATGCGGTTCGATTTGGTTCGGTTCGGTTTTCGGTTTTCGGTTAAAAAATGTCAGCCTAGTTAGAACAGACTTTGCTATAAATTAATACATGTAAAGTGTCTGAAATTGTGAAGAGAATTGAATAGAAAACAAATACTTTGTCTACCATTAATAACCAGTTACTTCACTCCACATAATCTCTGCATTACTCTATATCTAAACACAAAAAATTAATTACAAATCGAATTTCTTAATACTTACACTTTAAATACCAACATTGGTATCGGAGCCAGGTTGGATCAATATCTGGGTAAACTTATTTTCACATATCCTCCTATTTTACATATCTTGTTCAAATACCTTATTTTCACATAGCATACTAAATCTCTAAAATGGCCACTTCCTAAAACACCCATCAAATACCGATTCCAATTTTCTCCAACGAAAATTTAACTATTGGGCCATTAAAATGAGGACATATTTTATGTCCCAAGGCCAATGGAATATTGTCGAGAACGGGCATACTATCCTCGATGACATATCCACTTTGTCTACAACGGAAGAAGAAAAATCGACCAGGAGAAGGAAAAAGACAGTTTGACTCTCTTCACACTACAAATGGGCATGACGAAGTCTCTGTTTTCAAGAATTTTCAGAGCACAGACATCAAAGGAGGCGTGGGATACTCTAAAGGAAGAATATCAGGGTAGTGACAAGGTATGTTAAAATTACAAACTCTAAGAAGATTTGAAAAATATGAAGATGAAAGAATCTGAGATCGTAAAAGATTACTACACTCGATTAAGAGAAGTAGTAAATCAATTAAAAGTATATGGAGAAAATATTACTGACAAAAGCGTGGTAGAAGAAATTATAGTTACTCTACCAACTAATATGATCATATCGTCATGAAGGCAGAAGAAATAAATTGTCAGTGACTGAATTAATAGGTTCACTTGAAGCTTATGAGAAAAGATTGAGTATGCGTGAAAATGACACAGTAGAGGAGTTGAGAAGTTGCTATGATTTCTGAAGGTCCCGCAGTATATTGGTGCCATGGACCGGAGTTGTCTGGGGCCCTTGCAATACGCCAAAACACTCCTTCATTCTTAGGTTGGGAGTGCTCAATCGTTTTCGTACAAAGGACCGGTTAGAGTTCTTTGATGAAGACCCGACTTGCTCTCTTTGTGGAGGCGTTGTCGAATTATCAGGTAATCTATTTTTCGAATGCTCATTTAGCTCGAAACTTTGGGGGATGATTCGTGATCGGGTTAGCCTCCGTCATAGGCCTTTGACACTAAAAGGAGCTCTTAAATGGACTAAGAAGGAGGCACGAGGGGCTAGTTGGCAAACAAAGTTGAATAAAGCGGCGCTTGTGGCTATCGTGTACTTCATTTGGAATGCGAGAAATAAGTTGATTTTTTAGAATGAATCCCAACCTCCGACCCTAGTAATCCGTAAGATTCAAACTTATTTTGGGACCTGAGTGAGGAACCGAGCTGTGACTGCCCTTTTAGACTTATTATCCGTGAGTGAGGAGTCGAGTTTGTGGCTGCCCACTGCGCTTTTGTATGCTGCTTATCGGTCGTTTGTACTCCAGTTTTGATTTGTAGATTTACATTTATTGATAAAAA